GGCAACGAGACGTACATCGGTCAAGATGTTCCCCGGTGGACACCGTGGGACAGCTGCGACGCCACCTCGACGCAGCAGAGGTACGAACGCACGCTGGTGGCGGGGGGAGGGGGGTCGCACGGTGACGACATATGCCTTCTCTGCGGTCGCTCAAGTAGGAGCAGTGTGGTGTGTGGGGGGGATAATATATATATATATATATATAATTATATAAATGTACCATATATATATATGATACCATGGCTACTTTCATGTTTTCATTGCAGGCCAGAGTGAGAGCGCACTTACGAGGATCGCTTCTCGACCTACCCCCCATTTCCGAAAATGAAGTACACCGACTTAACCAGCGCCACCCTTGCCAGCGATAGCAGCCTCGTGCAAATGCCGCCGCTCCGCTAATCCGCAAGCAGTGAGGTCACAGGTCGACGTGCTGGACGAGCGGAATGACCGTCAGCAGCGTTTGATGGTTAATGCATGCGAAACATATGTTGCTGTACAGAGGCGCGGAGTGTTATACATGGAAAATAATTAGCCAAAAAATTCCTTATACTATTTACAGTGGTCTTTCACAAACGTTGACTACCTATTCGTGAAAGATACATATAGGAAGCAGTTACAATTATGATACCTTGGTGCCCTTTTTCTGGATGAAAAAAATGCCTTGTAGATGTCTGTATAGCATGAGATCGGGAATTTCGGGTGTTGCATTACGTAGGCACAGCATGTGGTGGCATTTATTTCAATATACCCTAACATATAGCTCATATATTATTTTTGTACATTCACCTATACCTGAACATACACATACATACAATTAGAAGTGACTGAAGAAAAGCAAATTTGTTTTAGATTACACTCCTGATTACAATATTCATAGTTAAATATATTACTTATTATGAAAAATATATTAATGTAAGAAGTGACTATTTATTTATGTACTGGTAAGTTATTATTTGGCCATTTGAAAAAAAATAGGGGTTATGCGCTGAAATATTCTTTTCTGTCATTGATATTTTGCTTCACATTATAAAGAAACATTGTATTACTACATGGGAAAGTATTTACAAATCTATTACTAAAAGTAAAAAATTTAAGTACAAAAACAAACAGTTTGTTGTATTTATATTTTTTAACTTCAATCGCTCTGGCCGTGTAGTTGTGTTTTTTTTTCATGCCACAACATATTAAGCGATGAGCAACTCATGTTTTTCATACGAACAGTGCGTTATATCTGTTGCCTCAATAAGTATTGTGCGTGCGCACTAAGGACTAAGGAACAAAAATCTTTCTTTTAACCGTCAGAGATGGCAGTTGTAACGAAGGTACATTTTGAAACAAGCGAGCAGCGATCTTTGAACTATTTGTTTCAAGATGGACGCTACTGTTACACTTTATTGTTGATGTAGTCAGACCAAGAGTTATGACTATGTCTCGCTTCATGATAGATGTGAAAGCGTGCAAGATTGGTTCATGGGAAGGTAGGCATCGTAGGCGGAATACGTTAGATGTGGTTGTAACCTCTTATTCTTCAAAATGTACATTGGCCCTAGTGTCGGTCGAAACAAGTGAATGGACTGATGCCCATGTAAGCTTACAGACAGGATTCATGAATTGATATTGACATTTGTTGATAACTGTAATGCATCCAAAACATTAAACTTCGCGATATATAAACGGTACTGCCCAATTCTGTTATTAAATGCGTCAGAACGCCAGATTAATTCAATCAGACACTTTATTATATATTTTAGTACATACACGCGTGACTTTAATGTATAGACTATAGGCCTACACGCATAAACTGAAACTGTTCAACCCCCAGACCAGTGACAACACTGCCACTGGCACTGTTTGAGTAGTTCAATCACTTGAAGAGAATTGTTTCCTAAATTTAATAGCTCATTAATAGAATAGCTCATAAGTAAGCTAAAAGACTACGGAATCAGGGAATGGCTGGAAAGTTTCCTGACATTACAGAACAGAGCTGGCGGTATCAGTGCACGCTTGAGATTTTCTGAGTGGAGCAGCGTTGACAGCGCGGGGGGGCTACCTCAAGGATCATCATTGGTCCCAATCCTGTTTTTAATATGTAACTATTATACCAACCTTGTAAATTGTAAGTTGAAAAGTTTGTCGACGAACAAAAATTTGGAATATAGTAAGAAACATCACAGAACAACTCTTCTTCTGGAGACAAGATCTCGATAAATTAAGTGAGTCCTGGTCAGAACATGGCTGCTGAAATTTCACATTTGAAAAAATGCAAAAGGATGCACATAGGCCCAGTAATACATAACAATATATTACACACTGAAAGACTGGGGAGCAAAGAAGAACTTTGAAGACGGAAGGAGACGAGGGAGGTTAAAGACATTGGGGTTTGGCCATATCTAATCGACATGAACCTACGATGCAGTGCATAAAGGCAGACTGTACAAGCTACCAACGTATTCGTCAATCAGGAAAGTCCTTCAATTCTGACAAGAGAAAGCTTCTTGATTCTACACAACACATTTATACGTCCACACCTAGAGACTGCCATCCAGGCCGTTCCTTACAATTTACTAAAGACATTAGACACATGGAAAAAGTCCAACGAAGGGGCCACCAAAAACCTAGTATATGGGTTAAAAAACTGTCCAAGTACGAGGAACCGGCTGAAGTTTTTAGGATTACAATTTTACTACCAGAAGACTAAAGAGCGACCTAATAGAATCATACAAAATCATGACAGGGAAATATAAACTATCCAAAACACTTCTTTTTTGTCCAGCCTCAAAAAACATCACTAAGAGAAATAACATGAAACTATATAAACAACGATCCAGATCCGGTGCCGATCAAACTTTTTCAGCCAACGAGGTGGGTAACCCGTGAAATAAACTGCCACAAAGTGCAGTCGCCAGCTACACGACTAACGAAATTTAAGCGCCAGAGAATCGGAACTGATTCAGGGAAATCACAAGTATGGGGCACATTAGGCTAGGTCTATTACAAGTTACAAATTACAACACCCTATATCCTAACTAACTAAACTAACTAACTAACTAAATTGCAAGAGGTTTTCATCGGGTCCCAATTAGGTCTGATTTTCAGTATTGCGAAAACTATGACAGCCACGGTTAGTTTTTAATTTTAGCTCATCTGCATAGTCAGATGCAGCTTGTAGACGCAATGATCGTCACGTCCGTCGTCCGTGCCGAGCGTCCGTCCCGTCCGTCTCAACATGGGGCACAAAAATCTAAACGGCCTCACGTACGGTTCACGAATTTGGACGTGGGGGGTATCGAAAACGAGTTGGGGATGTCGAAGCTGGGGGTCAAAGCGTCAAAAGGTCAAGTAGGTGTAAAAGAGGGGGAACATTTACAGTCCTTAACTTAAGGTATGGAGGGAAATGCAGAATTGCGCTACAAATTCTAAACGGCTCGCACCTAGGCTCGTGATAGTGCGGTTTATGCATCATCGGTAGACAAAAACCATCACTGCTGCCAAAATGCGGAGGTTCACAGATTGCAAAGAGTCAAATGGGGCCACAGGGCAGATTTTCATTAACCATTTTCTGAGACATGGTCTCTGACGGAGCGATGAAAAACTTTTTGTTTCAGCGGTGACTAGCCACCCTTTTTTATGGGCTTTATTGAATGGACCGAAATGTGCTTTCCACTGCTTAGTGAAGAGTAAGTGTTGATAACCTTTTGACCCTCAAAGAGGAGGGATAACATGGATTTGTTGACAGTATAACAAAGGAGTGAACTGCTTTTGCTATTAGAGCCCTCAACCCCTTCCCCCTCACCCCACCTCCTCCCACCTTCCCCACCCCCCACTTCCCTCCACCCCCCCTGCCCCTTCCCCAGCCCCCCCCACCCCCTCCCCTCCCCTCCATCTGCGATAGTGGGCGTGTCCTAATTAATATGTGTACGCAACTGGTTGTCTGCATATCTGCCGCCTAACCATGTTGGTACTACGCGAGGACTGAAATTTCCGTTTATAATCGTAGCAACAGACCTCAGATGTAGCCAGACGCTCATGCAGGCTCTTGTTTTAAATAATTTTGTTTTAAACAGCTAGATGTCATTATAACAGTAATTCCAAAGACTTGTTTACATTGCATTGATGGTATAGTTGATTGAGATGGTTACTTTGCTTGCAGTTGTGTGGGTGTGGAGGAGCATCAGGCTTCAGAGATTGAAGTCTACCATTGTCCAGACTGTGCAAAAATCCATGGACCCATCGTTGGTAAGACACTGTAACATGTGGTGTACAGATGTACATTAGTAAGCTTAGGTGGGGTAGAGTCAGGTAGTTAGCATGTAGTATATAACTAGGTTGAGTGTGCGAATAGACAATTTCCTCGTTACAACACGATATTATCATGGTATTCTAACTATGCATTGGCTAAACATATAGACAGGTGTAAATATTCCTATTCTTTAACAAATTGTAATTCGATATTACACCTGATATAAATGGCAGAAGAGGCTGGCGACTATGATAAAGTATTCCCCAGTCGTGAAAATTGTTTTTTCTGGGATTGATTTCCCAGTTGGCAGCTGGTTAAAATAGTACCAAGTCATTAAAATCATCCAGAAAATAACCATTCCCCTCTTTAATATAGGAAAATTAAAACTGCTAATAATATAATTGCAACTCTCTAGCCCGCCACCTAACAAAAGTTATCAAGTAATTGAAATTGTCTCATGAATGTAAACATTTGCAGTTAAAAAGAGGAACTGGTTGGAGAGGCTTCCTCCGCTGAAGGAGAAGAAAGGAATACAGACAGGCACAGGCCAGTTTGTCAAGGAATTGAAAGGCAGAACCTTCCCGAGGTGAGTATCATTTAGTTTTAGCTTAATTGATTGGCAACATTGGAAGTTCTAACCCCCCCATTCATAGCAGCTAACAGTGGGTTAACCCAGGAGGTGACTTGCAACAAATGCCACGAGTGGAAGTAACGAATGTGCTAGCACACAAACCCAAAGCATCTGAAGCCATTGGAATTTTATCACCAAGAGGAACACAATCATTGCTTTGACATCCAACAATCCACGTGGAATCTGTTGTCTACAAAGGATGTTTTTGATGTCGTAGCGATGGCATCGATCATCATTCAAGAGCTTCTGGTGATCATGTGTTATACTGGCCAGCACATTGAAGTGCATGGCGCGTGGCACGGAGCACGCATAAATATATCGTGAATATTTGAACATACTGTTGAATGATATGTTGTAGATATTGTATATTTTGAGGGGTTTCACTCACTCACCAGTGAAATGCATTTATCTACATCTTCCATAACGGGAAGCATGTTCAGGTTTATAGAGGGCGTGGGTGTACCGGTATTTATGAATACCGGCCACACATGTGGGAGCTGAAGCAGGGGTTTTGTGTGGTGTGTGATGTTGGTGTTCAAGGAAGGAGGGTGTGTGCTAGCACGTTCTAGAGAGAGCAAGCAGGTACAAGGGTTGAAGTGGCCTGGGTGGTTGAAGCAGCCACTTATAATGCTTATTTCACTGGTGAGTGAGGTGGGGCGAAGTACGCACCAATTTTTAATTACATTAAAATTGTGTTAAATCTACACATATAATTTACGTGTACTTCTATGCAGGAGCAGAACTGCTGGGTGACTAGTCCTTCATTTATTTATTATTTTATTTTGTTTGTATAAATTTTGTTACTGTTTACATAACGGGTTAACATTTATTATGAATTATGTGATAACACCTGTACACTTTGCATTGTGTCGTCTGTCTGTCATCATGGCCTCAGCACTGTTGCTGCGTCGGTCAGGCTGGAACATCCCCTGGAGAGGTGCGATGCGACAAGTGACTGTGTCCAGCATTAACGACTCGGTCCTGGATTCTTTCGCACTATTACCCGGTAATTTTATAAAACTTTTTCGAAAATTTGTCCGCAAGACCCCGTTTTTAGCTCGTCTGACATAGTCAGATGCAGCTTGTAGAATCGCATGATCGTGCGTGCGTCCATCCGTCAACAGTTG